TTATAAGACTCAGATCCTATAAAGAAAAGCCGTGAGAGTAGGGGCTTGTAGGGAACTGTTGGAGATCAAATAAGAATAACCCTCTGAGAATGTTGCTTTTGGGGAGTTCTCCTCTCTCCAGTGGCTCCTATGCTGCTGGTTTTCAGCAGGATTACAGGGTAGTTGGTTTATATGGCCCCAGGTGAAGGCCTGGGGTGGGTTAGGAACAGGGTGGAGAGGGGCAATGGGAAGAAAAGAGGGGACATCTGTAATACTCTCAACAATAAAGACTTTTTTAAAAGTTTCTTTTGACAATGTTTCTAGTGTTCCTGTTGCTTTTATGAAGGAGAGAATTTTTATAGGTCTTTACTTTGCCTCTCCCACTGATGGCACCTGAAGTCACTTCTGCCACCCCTGGAAAATGACATGGCCTTTTGAGGAATTTTTTAAACCACTTCTTTGCACTCTATCTCATCCTTAGTCTTTTTCTGGGTCTTTTTCTTTCTAGAAGGCTCTTTGATCTCCCCTTTAGCAGATTATAATACAAAATGGGTAAAAAGTAATGAACTCATTTAATTGTACCGTTAAGAAAAGATATGTCCTCATCAGAGCCCTTCTCAACTGCTTCACCCCAGTTCCAGGTCGCCAGGGGTCCTTACCTCACAGCATCGGCTCTCTGACATTCAGGAGCAAGACAACCCTTCCTTTAAGGCCAATTACCTTCCGATGCCAAGCAACTTCGCAAAAACTATTTTAAAGAAGGCAGACTAGATGGTATTAAGTTCCTCAGAAAGGTGTGGGTAAAATGCTGGAGGAGTTCTTAGCAGAGAGAAATAATTTTCAAATTGGGAATTTTAGGAAAGGCTGTATGATAGGAGAAGCTTTGGAGGATGGCTTTGAATAGTGTGTTCTTTTAAAGATATGGCAGTTAATCATGGAGGGATTTGGGGAGTATCATGCTATGTGAAATAAGTCAGTCAGAGAAAGACAAGTATCACATGATCTCCCTTATATGTGGAATCTAATTAACAAAATAAACTGATGAACAGAGAGAATCCAGAGACATGGAAACATTGAACAAAATGCGGAATCTCAGAGGGAAGGCAGGGGAGGGTGGGAGGGTGGGAGGTAATCAACCAAAGTCCTTGTATGTATATATGTATAACCCATGGACATGAACAAGGAACAACTAGGTGGTGAAAGATTGGGGCGAAGGGAAGGTTGGAGTGGGTTAATGGGGGAAAAAGAAAGACATATATAATACTTTCAACAATGAAGATTTTTAAAAAATAAAAATAAAAAAAGATATGGCAGTTAGAGGAGAATGGAAAAAGAGATGGGAGTAGGTGGGAAGGGTGAGAAATTGAAGAGGAGACGTGACTCAATTTGACATAGACAGGTAATGTCATTTTCAGAACTGTCGAGATTCCCTAGAAATCATGAAGTTGTAGGAAGGGATCAAGAGTTTTGGATTAGCGAGGAAACCAAGATGGCGGCATAGGTAAACACCGGAAATTGCTGCCTCACACAACCACTTCAAAAATACAACTAAAAGACAAAACGGACATCATCCTGAACCACAGGAAGGTTGGCTGAGTGGAAATTCTACAACTAGAAGGAAAGAGAAAAGCATACCGAGACTCAGAGGAGGTGCGGTGCGGAAATAAAGTACAGAGGTACGGAGGCGCACATGGAGAGGGCTGGCGGCTGAGGACACGGTTGTCTTTTTCAATCGGGAGGGAGTCTCAAGCTCTAAGCTCCAGTTCCGGGCGAGTCTCTGGGGACCCAGACTCATACGGGAGAAACTGGACTGTCTGGCATTGGTTGGAACTCAAGGGCAGCTTTCTCTCGGAGGTGCTTGCAGCGATTGCAGGGACACTGAGAAGTGGGGCCTCTGAGGGCAGCCATAGCTGCTTGCTCCGCCCTGTTGATCCCCTGGGACCCCCGCCCCGCCCAAGCTGTGCACTGGCTTTCGAATATGAAAGGCCTGGCTCTTTGCAATCTGAAAATTACCTAATAAACTTGCAGCTGGCCCAAGGCCCCACGGAAACTTGCATTGCTTTACAGCTGAGCTCCTGCTGGATAGCCTCAGGCAGAGGCTAGATTAGCACCTCCTTAGAGATCCAGGAGCCAGTGTGCCCAGTGGTCAGAGTGGGACCATCCAGATTGTAGGTCCTCGGATCCATAAAGGACACACTCAGGGGGCAGACTCAGTGAGCACCAAAGCCCCACTGAAGCAAGTCATGCCCTGGAGGGGTGTCTCCAGCACAGAAGTTCTCCCACTGCAGACACAGCTGATTCTCACAGCCAATTGGCCTGGAGGTCAATTCCTCCCAGTGATACCTACAACAATCAAGGCTTAACTACAACAAGACTGTGCACCAAGCCTACAAAGGGGTGCACCAAGAGTGTCCACCTCAGGTAATTTGGGAGGCTGAGCCACTGGGCCCTATAGGACACCTAGCATAGAAAGCCACTCTATCAACACAGGGAAGCACAAATAATACAGAGACAAAGAAACAGGACACAAACGACAGAAATGGAGGAAAGCAAACTACTGGATATAGAGTTCAAAACCACACTTTTAAGGTTTTTCAAGAACTTTCTAGAAACCGCCGATAAATTTAGTAAGACCCTCAAAAAGTCTGGTGAGACCGCCGATAAATGTAGTGAGACCCTCAAGAAA